AGGCTACATAATTTTGGACAAGTTGTTATGTGAAACAAAGGAGAAACAACCTCTTTGGCAACAAATAGAAAAGAACTCCTAGTTCTTCTTAAGGAATGAAATGGATTTCATCTGTACCTGTGGTCTTGTATTCAGATATATTCGCAGATGAAATTTTGTTTGGGATTTCAGCTGCCAATTCTGAAGGGCTGAGAATCTCACAGAATCACAGAAAGGCCAGGGTTGGAAGGGACCTCAAGGATCATGAATCTGCAACCCCCCTGCTACATGCAGGGCCACCAACCTCCCCATTTAATACTAGATCAGACTGCTCAGGGCCCAAGGCCTTGAACACCTCTAGGAACGGGGCAATCTCTCAAAGGTGCAAATTACCTTTTCCAGGAGGAATCCCACATTATACCAGATTTCTCTTTGAACAGAGAATTTCCTGAAAAGAAAGATCTTAATTTGCACTTAGCTGTGTATATCCATAATGAATACAAGAACTAGAGACTAGCAGTCTGGTCCCATGATGCTGAACAAATTACTGCCCACTGGATCATAAATCAAGTGTTTGCATAATTTGGCTATTTACAAACCAAGCCTGCATCCAGAAAATGCTTTTTCCCAATGCAGTCATCGCAGTTAAGCGAACACTTGGAAAACACACAAGTTTTCATCTATTTATCAGTTTCTTTTAGAACAGCTGTTAGTATCTGTAGTAAAAAGGAAGATGCAAAATGTTCTTGGAGGGCATTCAAAATATGATCGTGGTTACAGTGGGAACATGAAGGCTCACAGAGGGGATCCAGCTTCCTTTTCACTGCCTCTCAGGATGCCACTGCCCACAAAAACATCCTTCCAGGATGAAGATGTGGGAACACTTTTTCCCAACGCGAGTAGTTGGCTTGTCCAGTGCCTTGTGCCCAGCTCTGTTCCGATCCCTGCACATCATCATACCAGTCTGTATCTCTTGACGGAATGTGTGCTGGCTCCCTCAAATGCTGTTTTGATGGTGGGATTTGATGCTTTGTACTTGCTTTTATAGGAAAAAGTCCATGATCAGGGACTTAGGCTCCTACTGCCATTCTGTACTATTCATTCAATATTATGTGCTGTTTATAGCCTGCTTCGTGAAAGATGCTGAGCCAGAGCCTATTCCAAAGCCCACCCTGATCTTAGTGACACAAGTTTTACCCTACTGAAATAAAGGGCAGAAGGCCAGCCCTGAGCCATGCAGCGTGTACCAGTGTGTCAGGACAGCCTAGCTTTGATACGTGAGTCCAATGTTTGTTCGGATTAATGCTGTGCATCCACTTGTGCACCCCTGGGGTGCACTCACATCTAAAGTGTGGGGCAGGCAGCACTGCCACTGGGGTAAGTGGCAGCATGAGGACCAGGCTGGAGGTGCAGCTCGTTTGGAAGTCATACCCCTAACTTTCAAAACAGATACTTAGAACCATAATATTGTGGTTAGAAATACATTTGAGTTTCCGCAGTCATTTTTAGATGCAATAAACTAATGAAAGGCATGAAAGCTGGCCTCGGCCACTGCCCAGGCTTCCAACATAAACATCTTAAAATACATTATGATCAAAATAAAGCAGACAAAGTTACTAGTGAAGTTTCCAAGTGGAGGTGGCTTGTTTTGAAGTTCCATTAATGTTTTTCATTTTGCTTTGGTGCCAGCCTGTGAAGCAAAAATATTCCAAGAGATAACATAAAGGTACATACTTAAAGGAAGAATAAACCCATTATTCATCTGTTGCAAGGCATTTGGCCACAATGAAGAAAGAAGGATGGAGAATGGAAAGTTGTTGATGAGTTCAGAAGATGGAAATGATTTTGTGGAACACAGTGCAAAATTTAGTGCTATCCATAAAAAAAAAGATTGCTGAGCTCTGGGAGAAAGAAAGCAGCTACCCAGAAGATAGAGGAAGTTCCACTGTCACAGTGATGTCAACTTGTGGAGCCATCTGGGTTTGCCAGCATACACCCATGTTCTTATGCATGACACACAGAATACTGGCTTCTTACACACCTGTGATGTTATTTCCCTTCTCTGTGCAACAACTGTTAACACCTGTAGTAAAAGACCAACACTTGCAATTATACTAAAATAATATAAGGGAAGAAAAGAAAAAAGAGAAGAGAAGGAAAAAGAACAAAGGGAAGAGAGGGGAAGAGAAGAGAAAGAAAAAGGAGAGGAGAGGAAAAAGGAAAGAAAGGGAAGGGAAGAAGAGAAGAGAAAAAGGAAAAGAAAGGAAAAGAGAAGAAGCAAAAAAGAAAAGGAAAGGAAGAAGAGAAAAGAAAGGAAAGGGAAAGAAAAGAGAAAATAAAAGGTTGACCATGATGGCTTGGGGGACAGGTAGACCTGACTGCTGAGGCTAGGGACTGCTACACCCAGTGGCTACACCCAGCACTGTAATGTGCAGTTCTTGGAGTCTAACAAGTACAAAACCATAGAAAAAAGAAAATTCAAACTTTGTTGAATAACTATATCCTATTTGTCATATATATGTTTAATAAATTTATGTTTCATTTGTGTACAGGTATGTAAAAATATTTTATAGCAACATTTAAGAAAGGAATTATATTTCTTGAACTTCTTTCTCTTACAGTTTTTTGATTGCTCTTAAAGGTCAAGTTTAATAATCATGCCAATCTGGCATGAGGGTCTCCCTGCAGAACATACTCTGCTTTTCTGGCTCAAATGTATTGATCTCAAAGCTCAATGAACCAACAAATGAGTTACCAAAATCTACACAAATCAGATTTCTCTTTCCATTTCAAAAACCATTAATCTCCAAGAGCACCTCCAGCAGAATGACCTTCTAGCTGGGGTCCTGTAGGTGATAACCCTCTCTTAGCCCTCACTGGGGAATCACGTCTCCTGTCCCTGCTGAGATGCCTGTCAGCTGCCCATGGCAGATGCTGAAGTGAACCTTCATTTTTCAAACAATTAAAGTTTAGCACCATGTCAACAAACAAAATTTTGTTAGTGCAACATTTGATTACTGTACACTTAATCATGCCCTAATGCATGTCTCAGGACCCTGTGGTAGTAGCTGTGTGATAAAGTTCCAGTTCCTCAAGTCTTCTATGGCTTTGGGGCTGCAGTGCTGCAGCCTGGAGATGGCATTAGAGGTATCAGCTGATGTTTTCCTACTGGTGTTTAAATGATCAGTACAAGCCCATTTCCAAGAGTATTTGGATCATTTTTTGGCTTATCCCAATAAAACAGAGATACTGCTGATTTACCAGAAAAACAGAGCAGAACTGTGTCTGGTTGCAGCTCATTGAGCAGTAGTCGCAGCCTTCTGCTCCCAAACCACAGGCTTTTGCCACTTGAGCTGAAGGAAAATTTTCAGTTATTCTGATTAATGCAAGGTTCTTGTTTGGGGTTCATTTAGACTGTGCAAAGCTGAGAAGCTTCTAACATGACCTTTCAAACAAACCTGGGGGAGGACTTTCAGAGGACCGTCATTAAGTTTATTGTTAGTGTATAAGAACTACTGAATCACAGCCTGAACCTCTGATTGATCACCTGAGGCAAGCAATGAGTCAGATGTGGGAGCACAGGTGAAGGCAATTAAGCTGCGTGACCAGAAGGGGTGGAGCATGGCTGCATCTCTTCTAGACCCCATTTAAGGGCTGACTGCCACTAAGGGAGGATCTTTCTCTGGAGATTGCTCCTCTTGGAGTTGTCTTCTCTAAGCCTAGGATGAAGGTAAGCTTTTTCAGTTCATTTCTGGTTATCTGGTTCATTTCTGATTGTCTCTTTTCAATGTGATAATCTTTATGCTGTATGTTCTCTGAAGACTAGCCTAAGTTCTCTGTGTACTTGTTGATTATACATCTATATACTTATTGATTATACAGCTACTTAGCATAATTCCATAGCAATTTTGTGTCCTCTCACATACAATGAAAAATTGTAAAAATGAGGCTGTGGAGATATTTCTCCTAGGAGAATTAATCACACAACATTTTAAGCTTCCTGCTTGATTAGCAGTAGCACAACTTGAGGTTTCATTAACACTCATTTTATATCTGCTGTGCATTTGAGTTTTGGTAAGCAGAGAATGATGCTTCAAATGAACCATGTATTTCCTTTTGGTAATCAGCAGTTCTTAGTGAATGTAATCCTGAACTTCAGGTTCATTAAAGAAAAAGCCAAAACTAGGTAAGATTTCGCATGGTTTTGTTGTACTGTAAAAAAAAAAAAAAAAACCCAAACAAACAAAAAACTTGTGCACCTTTACTCAGAAGTACTTGGTGAACTAGCTGTTAGAGCTTTCTAGCAGTCAAAGAAGTAAGGTTCTGCTGAGCAGGAATTACTGCTCTATTTTCTTTCCTTTCTAAATGTACTTGATCTTAAATATTCATGACTACTAATCATTCTTGTTACAAATACAGCCTTTTCCTAGTCGTAGTATCTGATTATATGGCCTTTTCTATGTTGATACTTTGCCTATGAGTTTGCTCCATTGCCTTGCAGATGACATGTCCAGTTGGCAGCCAAGATTTGACCCTTATTTGGGATCTCTGGATGAGCATGATATCTGCAGCAATAACTGCATTTTCTAAATTCTCTCGTGGTCAGGATATGTTGCCATTTGCCACTGGCACCCTCAGATTCCTCCAAATGAATGTTGCAAACTTTCTCTGCCACCAATGAGAATACTGACACTCTCTTGAGTCGTGATAATTTGATCTCTTACTTTTGAGTAAGAATTAACTTTTTTTGTGTTGGTCTCCATTTGTATTATTTGTTTTTTTTTCTTTGAAAGGCCAAACAGGAAGACTTTATCAATATATTTTTGGAGGTTAAACATGTGTTTCATTTAATCCAATTAATTTAGATTGGTGAAAAATGTTGAGATTAAAGTGAAAAACTTGATGAGCTTTGGAGTCACAGTCTCATTCGCAGTTGGAATTAAGCTATGGCTGTAAGATTTGTCTTTGAGTTTCCAGTGCACCAAAAGATATCCAGACCATTTGACTGAAGAAAGAGTCATCTATGAAAAATAAGGCTGCACTCTGCCTTGTTTATGTGTCTTCATCACGTTCACTGTAAAGTAGGTGAAGAAAAGCTTTTAAAACCTTCTTATGCCTGGCAATGTACATTAGTTCTACTACTGAAGTGGAATATGTCTTTAGCAAAGGGAATAACAGTGACACTTGCCTTGTGTAGCAGAAATGCAAATCCTTGCTTTCTGTAGCCTAGGGCCTTGCTGCTCTTGTGTCATTGCTGTGCTTTGCATTATGTTACACTTTATAAGAGAGAAGGATACAGATGATTAGCTCTCTTCTAAGTAATTTTGCTTATGAATAGTTAATCTAGATGAAACTCTTTAGCAGAACTGACTGTTGCAGTGCTTTCTGGACTGTGGTATAGCTATATCCTGTTTGTACCATGGACCAGTTCACAGCTTCTGGGCTGCAGAGGGAGGTAAAAATACCAGAATGCAGAGGTAAGACAGCAGCAATGAGCATGGTCCCTGTGTCACTCCCTTCACTAAGGACCGTATGTACATACATACAATTATACATATAATGTATATAAGCTCATATTAGATATACAACTATTCACAATTTGCAGTAGTACCAGATGAATGCATCCTTTGGTTCTGCAGGATGTCCCCTCTACTATACCTTTCTCCTCTTTTTATCACGTGTACTGAAAAACACAGTTAAAAGACTGAAATAACAAATCCAGTCTACTTGCTCTTCCTTCCTCAAATATAGAAAAAATAGTTCTAAATAACTGTCATTTGGTTACTAGCAAGTGAGTGTTATTGCTGCCAGTGCTTTAAATCTGGTTTTCCAGAAACTGTAAACTGTTCAGATTTAGAGGTGATTCTATGACTTGTTTCTGAGTCTGAGGTACATATCTTTTACACTTGAAAATGAGCATGTCATTTGTGGAGTATCTGCTCTATTGGCCTAGCAACAAGTTTGCTTACAGCATATTTTTCTACTGCATTAATCACTAAGATTTCATCTTCTAGTGGAAGAGAAAGAACTTTAGTTGCAACCTGAGTAAACTAGTTGTTTTTTTACCTGTTGTATTCAGCATACACAGCAGTGAAATAATGCACAGGGAACAATTACAACAGTTCCTTCTGTACTTCAGTGTTCAAATAAAATCACTGAGATCAATGTCAATATAAAAATATACTAATTACCAAATAGTGTTGAATAAAAATCTCTTATGCAATGATTACCCAGATAAAAAGTATGAAATCTAACAACAGAAGATTAATCTATCAAGGCAATTGCATTTCCTGGTTTTACATTAATATTTATTTCCCTCGGTAATGACATAACAAAAAGGTTATTGCAGTCTTCAAAGCATGTTGCATGCCTAAAAAAAAAAAAAAAAAAAAAAAAATAGAGAAGAGAGAACCAAAGCCCTGCTACTGCAGTGGAAAAGTAGAAGCTAAAAAAAAAATCCAGGATAGATCAAATTTGTGACTTGTTCAAAAGTAGTGTGAATGATGAATGTGACAAAGAGCTACTATAGGAATGTGGAGGTTAAATTAAATGGCCTATGTGATCTCTCCAGTGTATTGACCACAACTAAATATACAACCCAGTTGCCATAGCACATGCCATGTGTACCTAGTGTTGGCAGTTGGGCCTTCTTAATTTTTCATGCTGAGGTCATGTAGGACAAGAAAACACTGTCCAACAAGTTCATTACTCATTTGGTTGATAACTACTTTCTGCTTACTGACTGAGTGATAGTATACAAGCTTGTTTTATTTAAAGTAGAAAATTCAAGGTGTTCTAGTTTTACATCTGGGTTTGAGTTCACTTATTCTGCTGTCTGGGATGAGGCAGTTGAATGGCTCCATACCCAAGGCACAGGTGGTATGGAGCTAAGGAGAAAAAAGAACTACAACTGATATTTCAGTTTTGTCAGCTATTGTCAGCACTGATCCTGGAAAAGAAGTAAATTTGCACTTAACAGCCTTTTGTAACAAGGTAACAGAAATTCCATAGCCAAATTTCATGGCCTGCCGAAGCAACTCAAGTTTCATTTTGTGCCTGCCTAGAGCTCATGGAGATGTTGTGACTGTGATAGATTGAAGAATTGAATTGTCATGGATAATGATACTACACCTACTGCATAAGGACTCTGTGGCTTCTAAAGCTTGATGTGCTAAAGTTCTACAATTTTCTAGGATTAAGGCAAGCTTGTCTTCAGTTTAGTTTTCAATTTCTCCCTTTTATACTGTTTAGCAAAGAGAAAAACATTTGAAGCTGGTAAGTCTGATACTAGCCTTTGGCTCAGGTTTGTTTGGCCATTGTTCTTGATTTCCATGTCAGACTGCTGAAATCTGGTTTGAGGGGAAGGGAAGTAAAGAGGAGACAAAGCACGGCAGAAAGCCTGACAGGCATAAATTTCACTTTCCAGAATGTCTGTGCTTGCAATCAGCAGTCTTAAAAAGCTCTGCTAGGATCATCAAGAGATGATGCCTATCAATCAATCTTTAAACACTGCCTGTTGTGTTCTCTTGTCAAGGATAGAACTGAATCTACAATTCCCTGAAGGCTGTTTTTATTCCATTTTGCAGCCAAAGGAGAAATAAGGGAAGTTCTTCTGCTTTCCAATACATTAAGTGGTGTGGATCAAAGAGATTAGTATCATGGCCTAAAAAGTTATTTTTCAGAGCTATAATAGAATCTGTAGTGCATTTTTTTCATGGAATTGTTTAAAATATAAATCAAGTCTCATAGTATTGATTGTAGAATGTATTTGCAGATGTCACCCCTCAGTATAAGGAGACTCAGTATAAGGAAAAAAAGTGCTTTACTTTCTGGTGCTGTAGGATTTTATACATTCGATAGAGTATATGCGAAAGGCATTATATAATTCTGAGTTCAGGCTTTTTTCCAGATGACAGGCATTACTTTTATGATGCCTTGGATGGAGTGACAGAATAAACTGCTCTGATTTATACCCCATTACAACTAGTGATACTGCCGTCATGACTGCTGCTCTTTCTCATTATGCAACATCATACACTCCCTTCTCTAGCAGTGAAATACACTGCAGAGTTCCCAAATATCAGCAACACAGGTCGATTCCCATCATGTGTCTTACTTGCTCACCCTGGGAACTTTTCCATTTTAGACCTTGGCCTACAGATCCTCTTACGGATGGTTTCCATTCCGTTGCCTTATCTGGGGTATACATGTTATCTCATTCTTCATTTTAGATGTACTGTTTGGAGACAAGCACCAAAACAATAAATCATGGAACTAGGTTATTTTTAGGCCATGTTTCCGAATCAACATTGAGACTATTTCTGAAGAACCTGCACAAGGAACTTATTGTGTGCATACACAAATAAATGACACAATTCAATGGTTTAATACTATCTGCCAAGTTAAACTACTGCAGAGCAGCTGTGTACATTTAAAATGATCCCTGGCACTTCTGAAGAGTTCATAAATCAGCAGTAACATATTTTCTTCCAATTAAGAGAGTTAAAGGGGAAAAAAAATTAGAAATTAATGTGTCTGGGGCATAAATGACATCTCTATACACTTGTGAATAAGGAACTGGGGGGGGGGAGGGAGAAAGAAATCAATGCTCTACCAATTGTGAGGATGATAGTTATTTCCCAATGTCCATTTTTCTAAGTGTTTCAGATGTTGTCAAAAGTATTGTTAGAAGCAGGCTTGCTTGAAGCCAGACAGTGATGCTAGCCCACATCTACTGAAGAAAACAGACACTCATCAACCAAAACACAAAAGTACTGCATAAATCCTCAAACTATGTCTCTCTTCAGTAAGAGTTGTGTTAGATGTTACTACCCCAAATGGGTAGACGCAAGCCACCTTTTAGAACTTACTCTGAAAGTAATTGCTAAAATACTGATATTGTTTTAAGGAACAACACAGTATTGTTCCACTTCTAAACTTTCCTGCCAATTCTCTGGCTGGTAACAACAGCAAGCGCCACACTTCTGCTGAGTGACTGCATCATTGTCTTCTGCTATAGTAAACAAAGGAGACATGCAAAGGAGGTAACAAGCATCAATGTGTCTTCACCACCAGTGGCAGTCTGTAGCATTTTTCTGCCTTGTACAGGTTCCCTCAGCTTTTCACAGTACAGTTACTTTCCTGTCAAAACCATATTCTCATTCCAACCATATTTGATGCTGTTTGTATGTCTCTGGGAATAGAAGTATAAAATGTGTATTTTTAGTTTAGATCTTACTGATGGAAGCACAAGGAAGAAATGCATTAATAAAAACACTACAAAAATTAAAAATTTAAACCTAATAGTTCTATTCATGAACTAATGCCTATCTGACCTATTTACATCTCCTCTTGCTCTCTAGCAGTTTTTTCAAGTGTTCTCCAGAAAGCTCCATCTGATGCAACTCTGCTTCCTCCTTCTCTTCATTGAATTGTAGCCACAATCAGCTTCCCACAGCACTGGCATCTTAAGACACATGGTTCTTGCATATGAGCAATCTCAGACATAGGACCTCAGGCAATGATCTACTGCATCTTGCTGCTCAGAAGAGATTGTTAGAGTAGATACTTCTTGCCTGTTCAAGTTTTCAGTATCTCTGAAGAGGGGAATTGTACAGTCTGGCTGGTCAATCTGTTCCAGGGTCTGATGACTCTCATCCTGAAAGTTTCCAGCTTTCCAGCCTTTGTTTCTTCAACTGATTACACCTGAAATGGTGGCTCCATCTTCTCTACTCCTTCTTTCTAGGGGGAAATTCCCAGGAAAAACTCAGCACAGAACTGAATTAATTTTTCTCATTATTTAACTACTACTTCTGATGGATAAGTAGACTCAGAACTAGTCCTCTCCATGCTCCAGGGAAAGGATATCTTCTTTCACTCTGTGTTCTGGCAGGATGTAGGACTAATGTATGTGTAATTGCCAGAGTGTCTGAAGCATGCTTGAGTCTGCTTCTTGTTAACTAGACCGTCATTTCCCATTTGAAACACAGAAGCTATGTTAAAGCGTACCCTCTTGTTTTAAGCTTGTAATAATCCAGGCCGTTTTTGTGGTAAACCAAGTGTGGAGTGGATAAG